ACTTGGACTTGGTAACATCTACTGACTCTCACACTAGGGAAGGTAAATCAGGACTCAGACTCGGGTTTGCATTCAAAATGCCGGATACTTATCTCTGTTTTGCAATGTACATTGCCAAGCTCTTCTAAAACTGCCTGTTGCCTGTGGTTTTGAGCAGAATGATAGATGTTTTCCAAATCTGAGATCACAGTTTGACCTTTAAGTTTCATGTGTGTTGTCTGCTTTCATTATTCTTTTCTCCTTGTTGCTCATCAAAGATTTCAGGGAAAAAAAGAGTTCTCCTCTAAGGAAATGACGAAATGCCTCGTAAGGACTAGAGAAGAAGATTGGGAGCCATGAGTTTTGCATGGTAACCTTCTATGCAACTATAGTGTACCCACTATAGTGAGGAATCAATGTAATGTTATTCCTGTGGGATTAAGATGAAGCTTTGGGAATGTTAGAAATGTTAGTTTGGGATCTTCAAAAGCATAAAGGAGGTGATGAAAATTGAAGAGGGTACTGGTGTTTGAAGTGGGAACAGAGGAACATAAAGTGAGAGGGGAACGCTCTTGGGAGGGTCAGATTACAAAAGTTTGTGCTCAGTGTTCACCGTGATGTTTCTGGTTCCTATTCTGTAATTCAAACCAGCAGTTTCTTACAGAAATAGACAATCACTGGATGCCCACCAGGCACCCAGGCTTTGCTGCAGATAATTGTGATCTGATGAATGAGCCGCATCCTGGGCTGGGTGCAAACAGTGGCTGCCAGGAGCTCTGCCACCCCGTAGGGAAGGTGCTGATGCTCTCCAGTTCGCCTGCTATTGCTCTGGCAGGGATCCACATATGGTCCCTGCTCTGCCCTGGAGCACATAGCTATCGGTCTCTTCTGCAGCAGTAGTTAAGCAAGGAGGCTGGTGATCAAATAGCTGTCTAATTGGGTTGGATGGATCAGCGATTTGTGGTGGCTAAAGAGCCAGATGCAGAAAGTGCATCTTGTATCATGCCCTCTGCAGATGGTTAGATATGCCCTCTGAGGGCCGCTGGAGCTGGGTCAGATGCATTTGAGGTTGATGGTAGCCAGAGGTTGAAAGTCTTCAGTGTCCATCAGGGATGTGCTCAGGGCGCCTGAGGAAGCAGTGCCTGCCCGACCATGAAGTGCAGTGCATCGAGCCGCAGAGGGTCCTGAGGGATGAGCTCAGCGGCAATGATTTATGGTTCAGTGGGATGGAGCCATCCTGTGATGAATTGGGCTGGCTTTTGCATAGAAGATACTGACAGACTTTGCAAGGCTGGGAACTCCTTCAAGCTGCATGAATGAGTTTGTCCATGACTTGCCAAAATATACAGATTATTCTCCAATAGTGTGTTGGTTTAATTAGAGATGCAGGGAACCACCTGACTTTACCCCTAAATCCTGCCATCTCAGTCAGCAGGTAACTTGCTCTGCACCAGGACAGGAAAATCTGCAAGCTCTTTATTACTGTTTGTGTTACAGCAGTTCTGAAAATTCCCTTTTATGATTGAGCCCCACTTTGCTCAATAATAGAAACTTTGTGCTGCTTCTTTTACAGTGCATGATGTGTCTCACAGATGCTTAGCTTGTCTTTAGTTGGGGTATTCTGATGTATGCTACCTGCTTACTGTGCTGACTTCAAACTCACTCAGGGCAGAAGAATTATAAAATAACAGAAGAAAAAATAGTCTTTGGTTTTCTTATGTAGCACCAATCTGTGCCTGATTTCTAAACAGAAACTTTAAATAGAAATGCATGTTTTGCTTTGATTGAAATGTCCCAGGAAAATAACTGAAGTTATCCCAAAATAATTTGTGAGCTACAACAGCTTGATGAAAGTCTCTAGAGTATTCCACCATGCTTTGAATTCTTTGAGATTTACCCAAGCCGTTTTCATCACCCTCTGTAAATACCGAATCACTGTAGGACATCTAACAAGATGTAATGCATTCATTGCCTTCAGTTTAAGAGCTGGGATTTTGGGATGGTCTCTGTGTACTTCCTTTTACCATGCAGCAACATAATGTTATACTTACTGATGACTAACAGCAGGAGATGTTGATATGAACCAGGATGTCCTATTGAAGTACATGGAGGCACTGCGCTGTAAAAGTACTATGCAATCATTTTCACATGTCTGTGTAATTACTATACAGATATCTGCACATATATATCCTTTGTCTGATTATTCCTGCTTTGAAACAAACAAGCGGTTGAGTTGGATGAGAACCTGGAGCTTTCCAGTTCCACAGGTTGGGTGGGTATTTTGTGCCCTATACAATGAACTGCATCAGCTTACCTCTACTTGCCTGTGGAAATTTGGAGAACATGAGCTGGGGATTGTGGAGGCCCTGTTGGTGTGTGCGCTTTTCGGGAGCATTTGAGAGCACAACATTCAGTCACTTGGATCTTGTCTCTTTAATAACTTCCTGAAACAAATAGGTGCAATTTAAGCCATGCTGAAAAAAAGAAAGCATCTCTTTCGGTGTATTATCTGCATGCAGTGAGACACTAGCAATAAAGCAGTAGTTTAGCTTAGAGAAGGTTGTGGAGGGTTCAATTCAGCTGCTGTGTGAAGAGGGCTTGGACTCATCCGTGTTAATGAAACCAAGACCCAGAGCTTTGAATTGCCCCACTGTCTTGTGGAAAATCCAGTATCCCAAGAGAACCAAGCAGCTCTTTACAGTGCTTGTGCTCTTGTGTTCATTCACAGTTTGTTTGTTAGATGTCATTTGCATGAACAGTCAAACAGTGTTTTAGTTCTGTTCCATCAGCGTTTTCAAGCCAAGTTTCAGTTTGGCACGCAGCAGCGATACAGTTGTTCTGTTACTCAACTATTGTTAAAGGAGGCTTAGGTTAAACTCTGGAAGTTAATGAGAAAATGGTGTGCAGCAATTTGGATTATGCTTTATGATCTAATTTAATACTTATTTACATGCTATGTTTACTGCCCTCTATACACAGAAGGTTTTGTTTAGTACTCATATCATGTATAGGCAATTTACAGCTTATTTCAGCCTCATATCCTTGATGCATGTGCTCTCTGCCCACTACACAAAGAGTGAGGCAAATTAATATCCTCTCCTCCCTTGATAACACGCAAGGGTCTTTTTCCAGGGTGAAAGAATTTCGGTCAGGTAGAACACATGTTAGTGTCTCACCTCTTTGTAATCTGTGTTCAGTAATGGTCCTCAAAGTAAAAGCAGAACATTGGTTGGACGAGGCCTTGTGTGGCATGGTTTAGTGTGAGGTGTCCCTGCCCATGGCAGGGGGGTTGGAACTTGATGATCTTAAGGTCCTTTCCAACCCTAACTGTTCTATGATTCTATGATTCTAACATTGTTATAGAGGAATTAAAGTTAGTCTTCTAAAGTCTTACTTAGACATGTAAATAAATGATCTGATTTCCAGAGGTGGTGTTTACAAAGCAGATCCCAACAGATTAGCCACTTCTACACCACAATGAAAACAGTGGCCCCTGAAGCTACTCATGGCCATGGGCTCCTCACACACCATCTTCCAGCCAAAGAGCTGCTCATCAGCCAGTAAGGAGCCTGGATCCCGGGCATCCCACAGCATGTTCCCCAGGTGCCCAGGCAGATGCCCTGCAGGATGGGAGGCTGCTCCTGGAGCCCCGGTTCAACCAAGCTGTCTCCTCACCATCAGCTCAGGACTCCTGAAATCTTGGGACTTTCAGCAGGCATAAAATGAAGCTCTTCTACCCAAATATACTAATAAAAGGAATTAAAATCCACTTTAAAATGTCAACGAGGATTGCTTAGCAAAATCCTACAGTAATGTATTTAGTTGTAATGATTTTTGCAGAGATAAAAGATGGGCCATTAAAACTAGGGCTGATTGAAGAAACAGGACATTATTTACTGTGTTTCTAATGAAAGGTTTTCTGAAAGTTACTTATTAGCTTGTAGCAATGAATCTATTTTGTAGGAATAAATGAAATTGAGGTCCAGCCAGCAAAGCAGTCCAGTTTGGTGCAACCTCTACCAAGGGAAGGAGGTTTTAGGAAAGATACTTGCCTTACAGGGATTCTCATCTCCCTCTTCTAATTCATAAAGCTAAACCCCTGCCATTTGGCTGAGTCTCATGCAACCTTTCATCACCGAATACCTAAATCAGCCTCTGTAACAGTTAATATTTGCCTAGCTTGCTTGTAGCAGCGTTTCCCAAGTAATCTTTATACATCCACATTTCACTCTCTACTCTAAATATTTACAGTTTTCTTTTCAGTGTTCCTAGGGTGATTTCCCTGTGTGCATGTTCAGTTATGCAGCTGTGGTATAAGAAAATAAGAGAGTTTTGAATGTGCTGGCATTTGGTAGCTTTTGTTCTGCTTGCAGAGTTTAACATTGATTAGTTTTGACACACAATAAATCCAGCCCATGTGGCTGACCATGGTTTTTAGAAGGAGGTGTATCCTCTTGTCAGAGTGCGATGTGATGAGTCCCAGATGGAAGAGTTATGGGGTACAGCTGAACTGAGCCAGCAAGTGGCCCTCAGGAGACTGGTCCTGTCCTTCTGCTCGCTCATCCCATTCCCAGTCTTGCCAAGCAGAGCACCATTCAGGATTTGGCTTGGATTACTGCACTTGGGGCTCTAGCAGGCACACACTGCTAGGATGAGGCAGTGAGGAGCCAGGAATCTTCCTTCTTACCAACAGTAGCTGTTAGATCAGCTCAGCTGCCTTGTGTCAGTGCACTGTGATATATTTAAGTCCATTTAGGCTTGCACTTAAATATCTGTTATTATGATGTCTCTGATGAAATGTTGATTTTAAATGATTTCCAGAATTATGGCCTGTTGGGAGGCTACAACAGAGTTCAGAAAAGGAAACATTCCCTCTCATACTGGTAGGATTTTGCCTGTTTTGTATGTGATCACACAGTGGTCTTTGGCTTAATGACTGTGCATAAAAGGTACTGCTGTGTCATTGCTGTCAGAGTTACTTGGTGCCAGTCCTGTGGTTAAAGCACTGAACTCTTTTGCAGGTTAATGAAATTTATCATGACGAGTCCCTGGGTGCTCACATTAACGTTGTCTTGGTGAGGATAATCCTGCTGAGCTACGGCAAGGTAAGTAAAGGTTAATTTAAATGGAGGACATCAATATCTCTGAGCTTCATTCTTTTATGAGCAATGTAGTTATTGGTGATGTGTATTGGGTTTGTACTTTAAGTCATAGATTGTCTATGAATATAAAGAACTTCTATGTTTATATGTATTTGTTCATCATGTGAACTTCACATTTCAAATAATTTCAATCTCTTCTAGGTTTTCCCTGTGTCTTTATAAGCTGCTGCTTACCCTCACAGTCTATCTTTTCAGATTTGTTTGGAATAATCCATGAAACACAGTGAACATTTTGGTTCCTAAAAAAACTTTTGAGGGAGTAGAGGAAGAACTGTGTGTAACAGTAAACACGAGATCAGTTCTGTTAAGATGCTGAGGGCTACAGTCTCATTCCAAGACATCATTTAAACTTAATGCTTAACATTAGTAAAGCTACACATATGCTTAAAGTTAAGTGTGAGTTCTGTGGACTAGGGGCCAGAAGGGAAGAGCTCTGCAGATCAAATCTGTAATTAAGAATAACTAAGCGTTCTTTCTCTTGGTGTTTCTATGGAAGGGAGTACTCTACAGGCAAAACTCAGGTAAAGAGAAATGAAATGCCAAATGGCTTTCAGAAGTATCACACCGTTCTGTATCTGTGTCCTACTTTTACCAAATCAAGATCAAATTCCATGGAAACAGGAACAGGGCGTTTCAAGTATGTTGATAAATGCTTTGGTTAAGGACATGTGATTTTAGTGCTCCTTATACAACATAATGCCCAGCTGCTCAAAAGTGTTGAATAACACCTTTCGGTGACTGGAGTTGCTGGCATCGGCATGTTCATGTAATAAACCTGGCTCTGGAAGACTCTGTGTACGTTCATGCAAGTTGCTGAAATGCTGTCAGTGAAAAGCCATCGTGAATGGTGCCAGTGGTGAAGCTTCACTGACGTTCACCAGTTTACCCTGCTCAACTAAGCTAAGAATTTTTCTTCCTGGTGCAAGTGATGGAGCTCTGACTTTTAGCCTGGACTCTGCTGGAGTCCAGTCTCCTGGATTTGGGATAAACTGTTTTATCAGAGCTTCCCTATCTGAGAACTGAACGCACTGATCCATCTTTGCTCTTCCTGCAGTGGCATAGAGAATGACGTAGTTATGTGTTTTGGATAAGCTGAATCAAGTGTGTATCCTAAACTGAAGGTTAAAAAGGTCACATTTGCCATGTTGTGAGTGAAAACTCATGGTGTGTGTGGTTAACATTGAATTCCAAAATAATTGAAATGCCCTGTGATTGCTGTAATGACTGCAATCTGAGGGATTGCACAGTGACTAATGATTCTTGTAAAAATCTGATATTGCAGTAGTGGTAGAAGCCCACAGGATCAGCACATGGGATACTCACTTCTTTGCTGTTCTTGTTTCATAAGTATTTCATAATTATTATGTGTGTCTGTCTTTAGCTGTGTAGATCTGCACCAGTCAGAACACTAATAACTCCTGCCATTTTTCTGATGGCAGAAAATAGTGATGGTACAGCTCATTTCACATTAAGAATCTTTATTTTCTGTTGAAGAATAAAGGTTTGTCCACTGGTAATATGTAGGTTATTGATTTCATATTAATCTTCAGATAGGAGAGTGGGGTGGAATGTAGAAACTTTCGCTTCTTAATGGGTCTTTGGCCACATCACAGCAGATAGCACTATGTAATCTGCTTGTGGATAGTCTATTTCTGTATTCTAGATCTGTAATCTGCAGTGGATGGTGGTGTAGTTTCTGAGTTATCCTGCTGGTTTCAGCAGGGCATAAAATGGAATAATTCTGGATCACAAGCTTGCCCTAAATAACTGTGAAGATAATTTTTCTTGCATTTCTGTATCTGATTCTTACTTATATGAAAGGCAATTTATGGCTTTCTAAAAAAAGCCAAAGGAATGGAAAAGGTATCATTTCATTGCTTCTCTACCTGGTGGTGTGGGCATCTACATGCCCTGGCTGCGTAAGAATATGTCTTCTAATGTTTGTGGTTTTTAAGGTACTGATCGGAGGACTAGCACCAAAGGGTGGAAGGTGAGGAGGCTTCTCTGGAGGGCTGGCATTATTTAGCAGCAGAAAAGCAGAGAGAAAAGGTGTATAGTTCTTACTTTCTGAATCTGTTCTGAACAAAGCCTTCAATATTTTACTATCCCACACAGCTGCACTAATGATTTTTAGGAATATATATTCAAAGTACATAATAAAAGGATATGAGTGTGTACAAGTTAAGGCAGTGCATGAATGAGGCAGCCTGGTAGACTTCACAATATGAAAATATTATCCCAGTCTTGTTTGAGTAAGCATTTCTTTTGAAAGCATGTAGCTGGTATCTTCAGATTCATTTGCTTCATTGTAGGTAATTTATATATATTAGCAAGGATGCCATTTAAATCAACATAATTACATGACGGTTCTGTAATTGATGAATTATGTACCATCAGCATCAGGTTTATGACAGCAGTCTGAGCTATTGCCAATTCTCCACCACTGAAAAGCCTTCTACTCTACTGTATTGGTTTGGGTTTTTTAAAGAGAATTATTTTATACAATATGATATCTGCTGATAAGAATAATATGGACAATACTTGAGTTGCATAGCAACCAGCTTTTCGGTGGTTCTTGCTTGAAGGTACTCCACTTCTTGAAATGTACTTATTTTTTAATATGTTCAAACACAGGCAACTGTACATTCAAAAGTAATTCCAGTAATTGTATCATTGCCCTGGTACGATGAAAAATTGGAAGATGTTCTGTGGTGATCACATGCTGAAATTACACCAGGGGCAAATTCAAAAGAGCTGACACAGTCTTACTGAGATAGTATGTTGTGTAGGTAATAACATCTGGACTTAGGGTAGAGGTGGAGACCTGCCAAGGAGCACTAGGCTTGCAGGCTGACTGGGTGTTGTGTTTAAAATGAGGGCAACATGTGGCTGTGCTGTGTCTAGGGTAGGTGTGCTGAAGCTACCAGCCCTTTCCTGACTCCCCACTTCTCTTAGTACTTCAAACAAATGAGCAATTCTTCATGAAGGCTCTGACCATGCCTCACTGAAGCCCACTCACTTATCAATTCCATCAGTAGGATAGAAAAATGTGTTCCACATCTATGGTGGTCTTGGAAGACAGCATGCATTTCTTTGTGTTTTCTTTACATTGACTCACAAAGTCACAGGCTGTTTTGATGTGATGGAATACTGCAAATAAGTAAACAGCATACGTGCAGTGCATTTTTCTTCAAATGGGAAAAAGATGAGCTGGCTCGCTTCTGCCTGTTTGACTTCAGTAGTAGGAAGATTGGTTCCAAATTTTGGCAGCTGTCGATACATTTGAGATGAATATAATTCAATGTTTGGGCAAATGATTCCATTTAGACCTATTTTGGTTGTAACGGCTCTGTAATCCAACTAGCTCTAGAATACTCAGGAGAATAAGCAAAGGAACCACTATCACCAAGTGCAGAGGAGGTGGCAAGAGATGAGCTGAGAATGGGTTTAAAAACCCTGACTGGTTATTATAAAATTTGTTTGGAAACATCTAAGTCCTGAGCACTGCATAAAATCCTCTCATCATCTCTTTGAGGTGGATGAATAAAGATTATTATTTCCATTTTACAGCTACAAAAACAAAGATGCTAAGTGTTATTTTCCAAGGCCACACGGAAGGCCACTGGCAGGCTGGGATAAGACCTCAGAAGTTCCTGGCTCCAGCTCCACACTCCATCAACAATGGTGACTTTGTGTGCAGATGAGCTGCCCTTGCACAGCAGCAGAGAAGAGCACACATTTAGCTGGGATGGGTGTAGTTAAAACCGTTATGAATGAAAAGAAGTCAGAAAGAAATTTGCAGGACCTGCAGGACTTCAAACAAATGAAGCCACCTGAGGGTTTATGAGGGTTATTTCTTGGGAAATGTGAACGTGGCAGTGCAGGACACCCCTGAACTGTCCATTGGAGCAACATGCATATCTTGATTCACCCATATTCAGACTGGAACAGGGTGGGATGCTGTGTCTGCTCTGTACACATCTGTCAACCAATACGGAGAGAAAACCCATGTTAGCTATAAACCAACCCAAAAAGTGGTCATACTCTGGCCATGTGTTAACTTGGTAAAACTGAAAGAGGAACATGGCCACCAAGGCAGACAGCCTTTCAAAAAGGTTAGGGAAGGGAAGAAAACCCAAATAGCTTCAAGATGGCAGTTCAGGAAAAAGGTAATAGGGAGTGGATGTCTACAGTCTCATAGGACCAGGCTGTTCAACTGAGAGGGATTCATCAATTGTGCATGTTCAGGGTATCAGCAGAGCTCCTACTGTCTTCATTTGGGCAAGATTTTACCTTTGATCTTTTCATAAAATGGTGTTTTCTTTACCTCTGCCATCTGACCTTTTCAGTCTAAGCATGATGAGCAGGGGAGATGCTCAGTCTCAGCCAGATTCTCCTCTCTGTGCCCCAGGGGGTGGCAAAGGTGACACAGCCGAGGTGGAAGGACAAACCAGGTTTATCCCTTAAATCTGCTGTTCATCCTTACCATTTTGCTGTTGACTTTGGTTGGAGGGAAAGGGTTGAGTGTTCTCCTTGTCCTGGAAAAATGCAAAGACTCTGGCTAAGAGCATTTTTGCCTGGCAATGCAAAGAGGTTTTTACCTGTACATTAGAGTTACAGAATAGCTGTGTTTGGAGAGGACCTCTGGGCATCATCTAGTCCAAACCCCTTGCTCAAAACAAGATCACCTAGAGGAGGTTGCTTGTGACCTCATCCAGCTGGGTTTTGAATATGTCCAAAGACAGAGACTCCACAACCTCTTTGGGCAACCTTTCCCAATGTTTCGCCATTCCTACGGTAAAACTACAATGGTATACTTACCATTTTTTCCTTGCATTTAAATGCCATTTCTTATATTTCAGTTTGTGCCCATTGCCTCTTGTCCTTTCTCTGGATACCTTTGAGAAGACTCTGGCTCAGTTGACTTTACTCCCTTCCCAATA